TTGGACTGTTGAGATGTGTCGATCACGCTCCCCTGCCATACTTATGAGCCTCGTCTCCATTTGTTTCAGATCAGAACGCAAGTTGTCGGCAGAAGAAAGCGCCAAGTCACGAGCTTCATTAGCCTGAAATTGAGGAAGAAATGTTATATCCAGTTGCAGAGGTTTAGTGGCTGAAACTGAGCCAAGGTAGCAATATGACTGCAAGGACAGAGAAATCCATAATTTCTCAGAGAAAAGCATGAAATGCACGGCAATGGCCAAAGTTTTTGAGGGGGCCACTCATTCAGTACTAAAGGCAGGGATCACAATTGCTCGAGAGTGCTGCGGTTTTGATGACTTCACAGAACGTCATTCTGTAAGAGCGTTAGATGTAATCCCAACCCGAGGTAAGCAAACCAGCCCTTTTGGCGTTTCGGCTGGGACCGTATGCTGAATGTTGGGGAGGGGATGGGGTCCCCAACGGTCGACGGTTTACTTCAACTCGGTTGGTACGATAGGAGAGTACTGACGCAAGTGGTGCAGCTGGTCCAGCAGCTCCGCCAGAAGGGCTGGTTTGCTCACCCCAGGACTAAGCCTTGGAGAGGGGACGGACCCGTCCTCTCTTTAAGGCTTAGTTCTGAGGTAAGCACCAAATTGTGGCGGTTCTAAGGACCGAGTTGAAGTGGTCCGTCCACCGTCGGGGACTCCATCCCCTCCCCAACATTCAGCATACGGTCCCAGCCGAAGCGCCAAAAGGGCTGGTTTGCTTACGTCCTCATTCGCAGTGTACTTTTGACAAGGAGCGGTGCGTGTCCTACATTCCACACATACTGCCCACATCCCATCCAACTGTTTGCACAGGTCATCCACCCTGGAGCTCCTCCACCCTTAGGCCTGGGCAAAATGTCCATTCCCTGGATCCAAGCGCTGTTCTTGCAGCATGGCTGACGGAAAAGTGCAAACATCTCAAGGTTTTCCCACATTACAACAATATTCATCAGATGTATAGGCACTATTTACCCTTTACTGCCCCACTCCTCAAGAACTGAGCCGGATTTTGATCGAAATTCGTCCATGACTAAGGATTTGGCTAGAAACTTGCCTTCAGGGGTATTTCGACCCGTAGAACACGAATATCACATCGGTTTAGCGCGAAAACGCTTGGCGCCCGCGCCACAGGCGCCGGCGCTATCACACTGATTCGCACCGGAGTCCGTGTTGCGTTCTACAAGCTCACTCACAGCGAACTAATGCGAAAATCATGTTCCACGTGTCTGATTACCCCTGACGGAGTTTCCAGCGAATTTGGCTATCCAAGACGCTCTAGCGCCTATAGTCGCCGGCGCAAGGCATTTTTGCGCTGATCTGATTCTGTGTTCGTGTTCTACGGGTTGAAATACCCTCTGGAGACAACTTTCTAGCCAAATCCTTAGTCATGGACGAATTTCGATCAAAATCCGGCTCAGTTTTCGAGGAGTGGGGCAGTAAAGGGTAAATAGTGTCGAAGTATATTTCGAATGAGTTGATTACGTATCATGAGCGCTGTTGATTGTGTTTAGTATTGGAGAGCAAAGTGGAGTGGCTCCTGTGGACTGCATAGCACCGACTGAAGGAATGAATTCGTCGTGATATCGAACAAGGCGATAGCAATTAAAGAAGGGATCTCTGCAATAAGCAGCATTGAGGGGAAAGCGGAAAGCGAAGTGGGGTAGTCGGGATTGTTCCCAAAGAGCCTTCACAGGAATTGGTGGAATCCAGTGGGAGTTGGTATGAATCGAGAAAAAAGAAAGATTGAAATACAAGGGTTCCAACGGGAAAGGGGGACTATGACGACCTAAATTTCGCAACTTGGCTGGTCTCAGAG